CTGTGGCACAACAAACACACGCCAGAAATTTACATCACAGTTCATTAGAGCTATGATTTGTTTGTAACTGAGGTTGTTCCCCTAGTTTTCGCTTCACTTGAAACATTATTAGGCCTTGTTCCATTTAAAGGACATCTTAACGTCGTTTGCCGCAGAGTATCATTTGCAACAATGCTTTAGGCGACCGGCTTAAAAATGCTAATTAAAATATTTGATATAATGATTTTACTGTAGACTGCCGTGGTCAGCATTTTTAACGTAGCTTGCAGTTTGTTTATTCACTTTAATGGTTGATTGTGTTTTTTGATGATCTAGCTAAAGTCCGTGGAAAGGTTACCAACAGCGCTGACCAGCGATGACGTCTGCTCTGGACTCATTCCTGAACAAAATGATCTCAGTCATCACCGGCGACGGCCGCAACATCGTAGTGAGTAAAGTGCCCTAATGTGTTTTTTTGTGTGACACAGTCTACGAGTTGTTGTTTTGTTTTTCAGGGCGTCATGAAGGGATTCGATCAGACGGTGAACGTGATTTTGGAGGATTCGTGTGAAAGGATATTCAACTCTCAACAAGGGATCGAACAAGTGCCGCTCGGACTGTACATTATTCGCGGTGAAAATGTGTAAGTTGCTGCTTTTCATGGATAATCTAAGTGAAGCTGCAGTCGCAAAGGAACTGAGCCAAAAATCCCACACAAAATTGATAAATACCACTAAGTTGATTAATCCAGTCAGTGGTACCTGCCCATAATGTACCGTCAGCATAATAGGTGTTTTGCACTAAAACATTCTAAGTTGTCTGTTGTTGTTGTCATCGTCATCTGAAGTATAAGGGTAAAAATCGAGTACACAGATTAATTATGAATAGCGCTGTGACTTCTCAGAATGATGTGGGTTACTCCGGCGAAAGTCATATTTCTCGTCGCAAGCCAGTCCGCCTCTAGCAGCTATTTTACAGTCGACAGTGGTATCTGTCACGTCGGTGATCATTTTTACTTTCTAGAGTAGAATGCTTTGGATACATCCTTACTATGTCTCCGGATGGTTGTGTCAAACCACGACAGGCGTCTTTCTTTGATTTCTTCATACAGCGTTCTCTGACCAGTCATCTCCAAAATCTTTTCATTTTTCATTCGAGGGAACCGTCGCACTTTGTTTCGACGAATGTTTTGCAGACAACCCCGCTGACAAGTGTCAAACATCTATTTGTAGAGGTATAAAATTTAGTGTCTCATGAATCCGGTGGATCTGAAATATCAGGCAACTTAAATGTAATACAGTAATGTAAACCCCGTGAAGATTGCCTTGATATAGCCACTGGAGATGGATCCACTGGGAATGTCGAGTAATTTGCAGATCCTTTGATGATGTGGAATGCTTTTTGGCAAATAACTATTCGACAGGATCTTCGAGATTAATCGTCGCGAACTACAGCCGATGTCTCTGCATCCGTTATCGAACCTAATGGACTCTTAGCATTGAGGCATTTTTGAGGTTTTGGTCTTGAGCAGGTATCGCTGGCGAGTCGGGGATGGGCAACTGCGCTTTCTTCTATAGAAGCGGGCTCCTACGCGACTTACTGGTTCCGCATTGGCACTGGGAGACAACTATCTTTGGTAGGTCTTTTCGACGACCATTAAGTGACATAGCCAAAATTGTCTTTAATGGTTAGATCTTTGCGATCACTGCGACCTCACGCCCAACTGATAACTGGTCGTAATTAACTGAACCGCTGGATGTACAACATTTTCGTATCGGTAAACGACCAGGTGCAGCAATGAAGCACGTACAAAGTTAAAGCGTAATGAAAACACTTCTGTGTCTATAACAGTTGCGACTGTTGACTTCTTCTTGGGTTTTGCGGCAAACACTACTTCGTCACATTATCATTTACCTTTACA